ATTTATATCTCCATAATTTCGTTAGATATCGCAATGGGTAAATCCTCGCGGGACACTCTGTATAATAACAATAATACAAATGTTATCACCTCTGTAATAACTATAGTTAAGTGGTAATAACAACTGTTGATGATAAAATTGAGTAAAAATCCTACAAAAATCAATTTTTGGAGAATGTCATGAAATGAAACATTGCATCAGTGTTAGAGTTCAGGAACTAATTATATTACATAAATTCTTCTCAATAAATTGTTGGAAATATGAAAATGGGGTTGTTTTTTTTTATTAGATTGATAAAACTTTAACAAGATTATGATAATTAATAGTTGGGGTTTAAAATATCTACAATCAAATAAACCTGAATGTATGTACAATAATGATCAAATGTATAATTTGTACTAATTATATTATGTTTATAGTTACTAACTTGTAACTTGTGACATAAAAACTCATTAAAAGTCAACAAAAACAAATGTTAACACTGAAAACATTATTTCTAGAAATTCGGTAAAAACCCTATTAAAAATGTATATCATAAGTGGCCCCATGTATTATGAACTTGCCACCATTCATTCAAATTTGTTCTTTCTCCACTTCTAATTATCCCATTAGAGATAATAGTATAATAAGCTCATTGCTTATTTTTATCTTATCATATAACAACAAAATAATACGATATTGTACAGATATACAAAAAAGGTTAAAATTATTTATAAAATCAAATAGGTAATATTAAAATGTATTTTAAGATGACAAAAGCAGGCTGTGCCAAACATACAAAATATTAATTTTGAGATTATTCATAAATTCAGCACTATCTTTTAAMAATAACTTTAAACAGATATTACTAGAGCCTAATGGTAGATAGAAAAATTAACTGTGTCAATTAATCAATGGAAATAAAAGTCTATGTAAATAATGACATAATACAATCATTATTTGTTATGTGACGCAAAACCCACATGTTGAGTTGTTCACTTCTTTCTCTAACAAATAACATTGTTGTTTCAACAGGATCAATTTTAAATACTACATTTTTGATATTAAAACAGCATTGGTTTAGCATCAATAAYAATAAAATAGTATACAAGCAAATAAGTATCAGAAACCACAACAGACATACACCAAGTATTCTTAATCAAATTAAATTTTATACATCATAACCAGTGGTATTACAATCGCCACCGTAAGTAGAAAAATTGCATGGTGAGGAGATACATTTTGAGCAATCGAATTTGATTAATACTGGGATCATAATGTAAAAGTATATACTTATTGTATAACACTGTAGTATTTACCTTCTTTATCTTGAATTTTAGATTTCACATTTTCAATTGAATCCGACGACTCTACTTCGAGAGTGATCGTTTTCCCAGTCAACGTCTTCACGAAGATCTGCATTTTGCTAAAAATCAATTAATAAATATATTAACAAATAATAAGATTTTTGCTCGTAATAAACGAGTTTGAAATAAAATAAGCCACGTGGTTGTAGTTTTGTGTTTAAAATTCAATAATTCAATATGTGTTCGAAAAGTACATGATGTATATATTAAAATTAATAATCAACATATAGTTGGAGTAAAAAAAAATTACCTTTACTTCTATCCGCCAAGTTATGTAAATACTAAATATTCCAACGGTCCGAAAATTCCACTTAAAATGGAAACTTAAGAAAAGAAAGAAGAATAATAACCAACACGCACATAAAATATCAATGTATGCATTGAGCTTGATAATTCTTATCATTAAACTTACAGTGTGCGTGACGCTGAGGGGTCCAAGGGAATTACTAAATGTTTGAGGTTATTTATCAAAGATCTTATAATTTAAATTTTGATGTTTTTATTATTTTGTTTTGATCAGTAACGTTTGTAATTCTTACACATTGACAAAATAGTATACTGGTARATGGCTAATTATTAAATATCCCAATCATGCTATTAACTAATTAATTTCATTTTCATTTTCCTATTAATTAGATAATAACTATTAAAATTTTTCGTCTTCTGGGACTACTGTACAGAATATGTACATTCAATTTATGGTTTCAGGCTTGCAATTATATTGGAGGGATTTTTGAAAATGAATTTTATGGGGATATAATATTATTAATTATAATGAT